TCTATGGAAAATGCTATGGAGGTTCCTCAAACAATTGCAGATAGCTCTACCATATGACCCAGGTATCCCACTGCTGAATGGAAATCACCAAGTTGAAGGTATACTTGTTCTCCAATGTTCACTGCAGCACTCTTTACAATAGCTAAGAGCTGGAACCAGCCCAAATGTCTATCATCATTTGAGATGATACAGAAAATGTGGTATATCTACACAATGGAATACTACTCTGCCATAAAAAAGAATGAAATACTGCCATTTGCAACAACATGGATGGACCTAGAAAGAATTATATGAGGTGAAACAAGTCAGGCACAGAAAGAGAAATATCACATGTTCTCACTTATTTGTGGGAGCTAAAAATAAATAAATACACAAATAACCTGGGGGGCAGGGGGGAGAAGACACAAAATTACAATTCCTTGAAGTTGATATGACAAGCAAACAGAAAGGAGATTGCTGGGAGGGAGGGGGAAGAGGGAGAAGGGAGGGAGGTTTTGGTAATGGGCCACAATAATCAACCATATTGTATTTTGACAAAATAAAATTAAATTAAAAAGAAACAAACAAAAAAACCAAACATCCATGTTTAACTGAACAGTGCATAACATTAATCTCTACTAAAGTACGGAATATTCAATGACAATATCCTATGCTTTATTTGCTTTACACTCTAAAATTCACTCAGTTATACCAAGTTTTTCCAAAACTGCCCAATGAATCCTCTAACCAGACTTGTAACTTATCCAAGAAATGATTAATTAATAGACAAGTTGTGGAGAATTGGGGACAATGGGAAATGAAGAAAAGCAAAATAGAGACATGGTGACAATGCTCAAAATTATGATTAAGATCCCTTTTAATTAAAGATTGATATTTATATCAGTAACAACAAAAAAGATGTTAATAAAAAGAGCTTAACTTAAGCCTTACCTTGCCCATCCTCCTTAAACACCAACTCTCTTTTTTCTGATTCATTCTCATTCTTACCCCTGCGCCTGTTTTTACCTCCTTTACCTAATTAATTGAAAAAGTAAATAAAGATTAACTACAATAATCTGTATATTCTATAAACTGTAGAACTAAAATAAAGCTTTTAAAATCTGTATTTAAGACCACTTGCAGAAAAATTAAAAATATATCATTTAAAGAGCAGTACAAGAACATTAACAGAACTCTAAATAATACTTTTTGAAAATTTACCTTATTTGGTTAACAAATCAAATTACACTTACACTTGTCAAAAAGTTCCCTTTAATCCGTTTACCAGATATAGTCATCAACCCCCTAACTTTGTTGGACATCTGTGTTTGAATATTTCTGAAAAGTATCCCATATAAAAGCATATGGAAAAAAAAATTATTGATAACATTTATTCCGTTCTTCCCAAATTAAAACAGGACTCCATGTACTCCCTTCCATAGCATATTTTAACTCTATTCAATCATCTGTCTTGAATATCTTTTCATGTGAATAACTACATACCTGGACCAACATTTCAACTGTTAAAGTATATTTTAATCCCTTATTTTGATTCCTTCCAACACTTCTCTTTTATTAAATAATGTTGCATTCAAGATTATTGTACAACTTCCATGGGACAAGAGTACAGAGAATAATTTCTGGGTTTAAGGTTATGTATCCATTTCCTTAGGCTTCTGATCAGCTATAGTAATTTAAATTCCCATCAGCAAAGAAAGACTATATCTAGTCCTCTGCCACTGTATCAGTTTCACCATAATCTCACAATACTAAAGATTGGAAATTATACTTTACTCTGTTTTGGAATTTTTGCTTGTTATTACAGCTGAACACATCTGAACGTTATTTATTTAACTTTATTTCTCTTGTGATATTTTCTATTCAGTGATCCAGGAATTGGCATAGTTCTTCATATCTTTTTATTCCCATTCCAGAACCTAACCCACAATAGCAATCATTTCCAAAAGGTGGAAGGAAAGGCTGTGAATTGTAGTTATAAGGGAGCAATAGGAAGAGTATGAAACAAAAGTTCCCTCTTGCTAAGTGATCCCTGATTGACTATATTTACCTAAGGATGGAGTCAGGCTTAGAGGAGATATCCTCAACAAACAGTTGACACCTAATAACTGCCCAAGATAGATACTATTGCCTTTAGAATTATAGCCCAGTAAGAGAATTAGAAATCTCATCCCTACAAAGAAAGGCGAGAACAAGACACCTACTGAAAGAGGTCCAGTTACCATCTGAGAGCTCATAAAGGATTATTTACGTTAGCAGAAACTTTAAGCCTTTTCTAACTTTGCTAACAGGCAATTAGAGAGGCCCCAGAATAATTAGCAGTAAAACCCTTGTTACACAATGTAAGCCGTTTTATAAAATTCCAATTTCGGGAGCGGGGGAGAAGAGAGTGTACTGTATAAAAAAGGTATAGAATAGCAAATAAGTATTCCAAGGGATAAGTGTGTGGTGAAAGCAACAAAAAAGAAATGAAGTAGCATTCTTGCTGTCAGCTGTCGGAAAGGAAAAACATCGTAGGTGTAGGTCCCAAAAATGAATAATCAAAGATTTCTTATGGGCTCTGAATATGGTTCTCTGCTGTAGAAAATAAAATGATTTCTCTATTCATACGTGCAGTTTTCTTTGATTAATTATAAGAACATTAAAAATTACGAAAACCTTAGGTGTATAGAAAGAATAGCTTTCGGTAACCATTGTGCAAGAATCCCTTTACCTAGGTACGCCCTCCCGTTTTGGAAGTTCTCAGTAAAGTTATTTTCTAATATAACTTGTGAACGTTCAGCTGCAGAATAAAGAGAACGCAGTCTTTACTCCCACAGTACCCATTATTAGCAACAAAGCGGAAAACTTGCCCAAGCATGTCAACAACTCTTCTTAAAAAGAATGTTAAACTCTTTGGAAGGCTAAAGTGGAGTAAAACGCTAGAGACAAACCTCAAAATGTCTGAAGATTTCACTCACTGCTAACAAAAAAGAGAGTTAATAGTATTCTTCAATAATACTTTTAACTACCCATAAAAATACTCATGTAAGAGTACCTGACATCACTAAAGCAGGAATCACTCTTTAAAGTTAAAAACTGCTTCCAGGGGCCGCCCCATGGCTCACTCGGGAGAGTGCGGCGCTGGTAGTGCGGAGGCAGCAGGTTCGGATCCTATATAGGGATGGCCCCTGCGCTCACTGGCTGAGCGCTGTGTGGACAACACCGTGCTGAGGGTTGCGATCCCCTCATCGGTCACAAACAAACAAACAAACAAAAAACCGCTTCCAGTACAGTAGCGGAGAGGACTAAAGGACTCGACGTGGGAGGCCCAGACCGCCCCAGGAGGTCTCCCCACGGGTCCCTGTCGTGCGGCAGTCTGAGGAAACCCCAAGTTTTCCCGCCCCAGGCCCTACAAATATGGCGTCGGCTCCACTCCAACGTGACCAAACTAGGAACAAGAATAACTGCCCAGCTCTTCTCCTCAATCAAGCTGAGCCGCATGTGAGGTGCTTAGCCGCCCGCAGGCAGGAAGAACAGTTACTGCGGACTGGATCTGGGTGACCCGGCCGACCAAAGCCCTGTTCCTGGGGGGTCCAGCATCATTACCTTTATTTTTGGGCATGTCGGTGACACGGCTACCACTCGCAGGAGCTCCCGAGGTTAAGCAGCCGCGGGTTGTGACCTCACAAACGTTCTTCTGTTGTGCCGGTGGATAAACTGTCGGTACTGTGGCATGCGCGGACAAATAGCGTCACAGCCGCTTGCCCCTCCTCCCGTCGTGAATTGGTCTCTCCCCCCCCCCCCCCCCCCCCCCCCCCCCCCCCCCCCCCCCCCCCCCCCCCCCCCCCCCCCCCCCCCCCCCCCCCCCCCCCCCCCCCCCCCCCCCCCC